AAATATTTGTAAAGCTACTACTGCCATGATATCAGTATTAAAATGTGTCCTACCTTTTACTAATTTTTAAGATAGATTTTATAATGTGATTATTTACTCTGTAAATGGTATGGCCTCATTAAAGTATTACATATTATATAATCCCAATGTTTGAATGTTTGTTTTGTGGTGGTTAGTATTGAACCTAGAACCTTCACACTGACCTACCTCCCCATCATTATTTTTTATTTTTTTATTTTGAGACAGAATCTCACTAAGTTGGTAAATTGCCCAGGCAGAACTCAAACTTGTAATCCTCTTACCTCAGCCTCCCAGAGTGCTGGGAATACAGGTCTGCAGCAACATGCCTGGCTATTTGGAGCCCAAATTCCTACCAGTGAATGTAAATAAATTAGGTGCATTTTGTTTTATCTTTAAATGAAAACTAATAGAACCTTTGGTTTTTCTGAAGAGTGGGCCACCATACTTGGCTTTGTTTTTTTTTTTTTTTTTTAATTAAAAATATAACACAGCCAGGCATGGTGGTATATGCCTGTAATCCCAGCAATGGGGAAGCTGAGGAAGGAGGATTGACATGAGTTTGAGGCCAGCCTCGGCTAGATACTAAGTTCCAGGCCAGCCTGAAACTATATAGCAAGACTCTGTCTCATGAAAACCAAAAACAAAACCAAACAAAAGAAAACCCCACATATAGAAAACATGTAAAACATAAATATCTTAGCAAATCCCAAAGCAAAGAGTCATACAAACATCAAGAACTAGATATAAGTATCCTCAGAAGTTCTGCCTTGCCTGCCTCCTCTATTGTAATCCCTTTCCTCACTAAATAACTACTGACGTGATCCTTATAATAAACAGTTCCAGGGCTGGGGATATAGCTCAGTGGCATAAGTGCCTGCCTGGCAAGCACAAGGTCCTGAATCTGATTCCTGGTTCCAAAAACAAAAACAAACCATTAAATAGCTCCAGCCTCTGTCTGTGTACATTCCTAAGTGTCATGGTTTATTTTGCTTGTTTTTGAAATTTTTTGTTTATTGGTACATTTTAGGTACATATAATGATCACATTCATTATAGGGAGTTTGTACCTGTACGTAATATAACTTGATTCTTTTTTTTCCCATCTCCTATCATCTCTTTAACTCCTCTGCTTTTGAATTCTGTAGAAATAGTGTCATTTGGTAAAAAAAAAAAAAAAAAAAAAAATCTTTTTTTTCAGTATTTTTTAAAGACA